GTTCTCAAAAAGATAGTTTTTGTTGTTGACATTTTTTTGAAGATGTGGTCAGATTTAATGTTCCACTAACGTTGTTGTATTTTGTTTTACATTCCGTTTTGCAGCACTAAAGAGAAGAACGCTAAAGAGCTTGGGATGCAGCTCACCCTAACTAACTGATTAGAATATTCGTTTTCTGATTTACTTGTGTGAAGGGTGGGGGGTGGGGAGGGGAGTGGCGTATCGCAGTTCCAGAAGACGACTGTGGGACCGTGGACGTTTGTATAGATTGTATACATCAGCCGAAGTTCAAATTCGACTGATTTATTTGATGATCTTTTTATTATCCAGAAAAGCAGGAAGTTTAGGTGATGCTGGGTTACTGCACCCAAATATCTGCATTTTATTCATTTTACTGCATATATAACCCTGCAGATGCTGATGCTAATACATATTTATCTGTACCGGCATCACAACCAGTCAGTTTCTAATTGAATGTGCTTTTTCTAGGGATGCACCGATACCATTTTTCCCTTCCGATATGGTTTCTGCACCGCAAAAAATAGTCTTATCAAGTAAAATTATCTAAAATATTGACAATAAATCTAATATCTCTTCTGTTGAGATTGTTCTAAGCTTAATTTAAGATTATTTAAGTTATTTCTATACATTTTTTTTCTTGTTTTAAGTAATTTTGTTAAGTAAAATAATGTCACTATATTGGCAGATAATTTTGCGTGTTTTAAGAAATGAGCTTGAAACCAGCGAAATTATCTGGCAGTACAGTGAAATAATTTTACTCAATAAAATGACCTCAAACAAGTAAATAATACTAATAATAATTAATATATTAATAATAATACCTAGAAATAAGCTAGATAACCTTCTAAGTGCACAACCATCTCAAAATGGGAAATATTAGACGTATTGACTTAAGGTCATTTCACTTGACAAGATCATTTCTTGCAGTGTGATCTTCACATATCTGCTGATATTGAGTACTGATGCTAACTTAATCAATAGGTGTCTATAAATCAATGATATTTAGACAGTTGCACTTTTTTCCTAAGTATTTGTTGCACTTTCATTAGTAAAAACTGTGTTCTGTGTCACAAACAAGCATACTGAGTCTGAATGAATGCTTTAGGAAATAAATCACTGACGCTGAGGAAGCAGCAGCCAGAGAACGAGACGAAGGACGAGAAGGAAAGATGGAACAGAGTAACAGAGAGACTGAAAATGCAGGTTTAGATGAGAAGATAAAGCTGTGCTGGAACAAAAGGTGACGCAACCATCCAGTGAAGAACAAACACAGAGCAGTGTGGTGTCCTCTGTTGCCTCATAGCTGAATCAGGGCTACAGCGAGTCGCTCCTCCTCCTCATGATGAGCCGCCGCCTTA